CTACCTCCTTCCTTACCTGATTTCTCTCTATATTTATCCACTGCTCCCTCTAAGTTCTATCTTAATTCTTTCATCTTAATTCTGCCTCATCTAGGTCCTTCTCATCTTGTTCTTACCCAGCTAGTACTTCCCCATCTGGCTCTTCCTCATCTTCCATCTCGTCCACACGTTTTCTCTGGTCAAAATCCTCCTTATCCCTCTCTGTTCTCTGTCCTCAAGTTCTCTACCCTCTCTTCCTCCCCGTCTCCTTATACCTCTATGTTCTATCCTTCTCTGAAAATAAAACTGCCTTTTTATCCCTTTGACCCTTATCTGCCCAAGCTATCTGCTGTTTTTCTGCCAGGTGGGGGAAAGTATGCTCGGTCGCTAGGCAACCTGTGTACAGCTAGATGCCTCTGGTGATAGTTAAAGGGAGATATGGAACTAGAGGTAAGATTTGGGAAAAGAGAAAGTTAAGCTTAATTGGCACATCCGCCAGGCCTTCTCAAATGGGTAGTCTGGATGCTTAAGTCTGTTCTTAGAGAGTACAGAGGTATCTCTGATAAGGTACTTTCCTCCATCTGGCGATGGACCTGGCCGGATGCTGCTAATGGCGATAATTACAGGGAGGCTTGAACTGGGGTTCTGGCTGAGCATAGCTGTCAGCTCAGAAGGTAATCTAAATATCCCTAGAAGTGGTTAGGTAAGTAGTTAGAGGTCTATAAAGTTAGTAAGGCTGTAAGAAAAGGAGAGTCTGAGCCAAATTGTGCAAAGCTATTACTTAAGCTCCACCTGGCCTAGGCGGTGTCTCCTTGTGGAATTTACCTTAAATCAGGAGACTAGCATGTGGTGGTCTGGACTGTTATTCCTGTTAGTCCTTGAATGTGGCTAAGGGAGAGATCTGATTCCAGCTCTAAGAAGAAGAATGGATGGGCCTGAGGGAAGGAAGTCTTTCCTGAGGTTGTTCTCCAAATACCTCGAACGTATACGTCCAAATAGTGATCAGTCCACACTGTTAGCAATTCTTAGGAAAAAATCAATTGGGAAAACTATGAAGGCACACATGATTTTCATAACAGAAGACAGGTGATATATAACAAGCCCAATAACAACAAATGTTCCTTGGAATTTGGCTTCCTCTAAAGGAATTCCTTGATCCCTTCAGGTAGTGAGTGGCTTTGCCATCACCAGTTGAGTTCTTATAATATATTCCTGTGACCTGTAGCAAGGAATATTCATATCCCCACAACCTACTGCTATGTTAACTGGAGGATGGGGGATGTAAGCCCAAAATTAGGATCCATTGTTTTTACCTGCACCATTACCATGGAAAGCATGACGAGAAATAAGTTTGTAGCACTCAGAGGCTTGTGAGTCATGCGAAGTATCCTCTCTCCTTTGTCATACAAACTCTTCATCTGTCCCCAGGCGGGAGGATTAGTTGTTCGTGGCAAAGGTCTCCGGTGTCTCCACTTCAGCAGAGGCATTCTGCAACTCAGCATCTTGGAGATGTCTTTTACTCATGGCAGATTTTTATCAATTTCAATGGAATCCACAATTTATTATCTCCTGTGGAAACATAAGCATAACCTCTGCCCTAACTTAACATTTTCCCTGGACTATTTTGGTGTTAAAATATTTATACTACATGGGCTGACTCGATCCAGCAATTCTTTCCATAACTCAATGTTGTTCCTGTTTCATTAGCATTTAAAAACTTTTAAAATTAGTAGGGCATTATGCAGTCTATCTCTGGGGTCCTCATATTCCCCTTCTGTTTAAAAGCATCTTTTTTTGGGTGAGGTTAGATCTCTCAACAATTGCCTAATTTCAGAATTGGTATAGGGTACCATAATCTCAGCTGGATCCATACCTGACAATTGATGAAGTCTTAATCTTTCCTTTATGATTACTTTAGAAACTTTTTTATATAGGTTTTTAATTTTTTTACTGTTTGTGAGCTAAGAAAATCCATTCGAAAATATAATCCTCTCTCTGCATAATGAGTCCAGTAGGGGAATGATTTGAAGGTAAAATTACTAAAATATATCTCTTTGTAAGGTCTAATCTATCCATATGGACATTTTGTAATTTTTGTTCTACCAGAGCTAATTGTTTTTCAACTTTAGCTGCTAACTGCCTTGGACTGTTTAAAATCTGAGCCATACTGCAAAATTTGAAACAAATTAGTTAATTATTGAGTAGGCCATTTGTAGGCCACAACCAGTTAATATTACCCAATAATTGTTGAAAATCATTAAGAGTACGCAGTCAATCTTTCCTAATCTGTACTTTCCATGGCTGAATTGTCAGTTTACTCAATTTATAGCCTAAATAGCTAAAAGAATCTGGTTTTTTGTATTTTTTAGGATAAATTTGTAATCTGCAACAGGGTAAAATTTTTTTGTACTACGTTAAACATTTTTTAAGGTATCTGTATCAGAGGCAGCCAATAAAATATCATCCATATAGTGATAAATAATAGACTAAGGAAATTGTTTACAAGTCATTTCCAGTGGTTGATTTACAAAATATTGATATAAAGTTAGGCTACGGACAGTGGCCCCTACTCTAAATTTGGATAACCAAATCCTGTCCTATCTTGTCTTTATACAACCTGAATAGCCTGTGACCTTCCCTTATAATTTTTTGTGAGGCCTCTTTCAGGAATATATCCCAATTTAAATATCAATTTATAAGCTGTTTTTGAAATTGTAGGAATATTGATTTGAGATCCCATTGTTGTAACAAATCTCTTCCTCCCCGGATTCTTGTGAAATTATAGATACATCAGCACCAGAATCCAATAACCTTTCAATCTCGACCCCATGTAATCTTACTTTTAATTCAGGCTGTTTATCATTGATAACTGTTTTCCAAAACACCTTTTCCCCTGAACTTCCAAAGCCTCCAGTCCTACATATAGGTGCCACTTTGTGTTTAAGATATGGAAGTAATAATAACTGAGCAATTTTATCACCAGCTTCTATTTCCATGGTCATATATATATATATATATATATATATATATATATATATATCCTATAAAAGCATTAAATCCAATCTCTATAGGATTTTAAGAGGTAACTTTAGGCAATACTGTGGAGTATTTTTATAAAATCTTAAAAAGAGGATCTTTTTTATAGATTCTAAGTAACATATTAATTCAACTTGTCAATTATTAACAATGTGGATCAAACAATTTATCTGTATTTTATTTACTGGAAAAAAATTTTTGTAATCTCTTTATCAGCAAGAGATTATTTTCTGTGAGTTTTTATCCTAGCAATCATATTATTTAATAAGCTGACAACCCAATCTGTTTCAGGTTTAACATTTCTATAGAATTTAACCAAGAATTTCTAGAAAGCAACTTAAAGAGCAGAGCCAAATTCTCAGTAATGATCAACAGACAAGAGTATACCCAATATATAGTTGAAAATTATGAATCCTGTTCCTTTAGTTTATCTACCATGAAAATCAAACATTCATCCAAAGAGTATTAGACAATCAAAAGAAGAGAACAACCTCTATACACTGAATGATTAATATCTCTGGAAATTCAAACAGCATCAACTTAGCATTCCATGTCCTGACTGCAACAGTTCTTCACCAGAAGTTGGGCCCATTTAAACTTCCTCTTTCTCCCATGAAAGGACTATTAATAATGAGTTATTCCCATCATTAGTGAAAAACAGAAAAACATTTCCAACGAAGGGATCTTTAATGTTGAGTTATCCCTGCTCTGGGGGAAAAATAAAAAAACATTTAAAAACCAAAGTTAAGCAAACAGACGACATAATTCTAAGCTCTGGGTTTGCTGTTCAGCCAGCAGCAGTGAGGCCCACCTGTTGATTCTTTGTAACTCAGATGCTTGCAGGCAGAAAGAGCTCAGAGTTTTAGCTATCCTGAAATGTTTGTAATCGGAAAGAACTTTTTCTTCTTCTATTACTACTGAGAAGGGGTGCTTTTTTTTTTTTCTTTATTTTTCTTTTACAGGGCCTTATACTCTTTAGGCCTAGTTTTAGTATTTTCCCCCTTTTTACCGGGAAAATCCTTTTTTCTTGATTAAACATTTTCCCCTTTCCATTGAGAAATTTCCTTTTATTTCCTTTCCTTCCCTCTTTTCTATTGGGAAGATTTCCTTTTTTATTTTCTTTCTTTTCCTTTTCTCTATTGAGAAAGGTCTTTTTCCTTTATTTATTTCCTGTCTCAGAAGCTACTGTATTTCTATCTTTAAAGATTGTGCAGTTACAGCTTTTTATTTGACAAGCATTTAGCAACTGTAAATTTTGTTGCTCCTGAGATGGGGAGTTTAAATTCCCCATGACCCAGCCAATCCTGGAGTCCTCTTACCCTGAGAGTGCTCTCTCCAGCTCCTCTGTCCTTCAGATCCTCTGTCCTTCTTCAAGCCCCATGTTGGGCACCAAATGTAACTGGTCTCCACAAGGTGTGTGGGTTCACGTGGGTCCATGGAATAAAGACTCAGAGGCACCTTAAGAACGAACTTAGCCTTTCATGGCTGCAGGAGTCCAGCCTCAAAGGACTGAAGCACTTTCCCTTCGCCTAGGGCATTTTTATTTACTATTACAGTTTAGCCAGTTAATTTCCATACCTTCAAAGAATCCCAAAAGGAGCTTCCAGAGACCAAATGCCAAGTACAAATTACTTGATTTATCAGGTAACTCAGTTTTCTGGGTTTCCAGAACCAAGTTTTGCATAGGCCTTTGATCCTTGGGAGACTCTCTGATCCTTGACTCTCAGACCAGATTCATATAGGGCGGTTTAAGAGAAACAAAAGGTGTGGTTAAACAAAGGAAGGATTAGGGCTAGGTGCTGCTCTCTGGAGCCAAGCCAGGAGCTCAGCAGGAATGCACTACAGGTTGCTTTCACAGAATATATCCTACTCTTTCTCTATAAAAATTAGTTTGCAAATAGTAATATAACCTGCTGACTCATTTAATTGAGAATTTTGTGAATTCAAATTTAAGCAACTAGGTTTTGACTGTTTCTCTTTTCCAGAAAAACAAAACTCTCAAATACTTGAGAATGACTGGAAATAAGATTGAAAATACAGGCGGCATGGTTTTTGCTGCAATGCTGCAGATAAACGCATCCCTGGAGAAACTGGATCTGGGCGACTGTGACCTGGTGAGCTGGTTCTGAGAAAGTCACTGGTGCAGTGGGTCTTCTCCCAGGGAAACAGCACGAGAAGCTAGAAGACGTGTTTCTTCTGGTTTGTTTCTGAGCAAAGGATTGCCATGCAGCCCAAGCCAGTTAACTCACAGTTCTTCCACCTGTCTCCCAAGTGCTGGAACTGCACACATATGCTGCTACCCTGACAAGACATTAATGTTTACTCTACCCTCGCGGGAAATGTGGTTTTCCATTCACACAGTGATATAGACTGTTAATCAGATTATAGAGACTGTAGAAATGGCCCAGGAGTTAAAAGCATTTACTGCTCTTACAGAGGACTCTGGTTCTGTTCCCAGTACCCATGTGGCAGCTCATAACCACCTGTAACTCCAGTTCTAGGGGATCTGGTATCTCTTCTGGCCTCACTGACACTACATATGCATGGTGCACATACATACATGTAGACAAGACACTTGTATATAAGGTAAAGTTTTAAAGTATCATAGTACAGCAAACAATAATTGGACAACAACTAGCATAATAAAGATATTCTAAACTCTATGCATAACTCAACTTGTATGTGACTTACAGAAAATGATATGCTCATTTACATTCAACAAATACTACTTCATAAATACTAATATAGATTTCTTCTGATAGAAGATATTTTGCAATGAGTATGTTGTATGTACTGTGAAAGTGGTGATGATGCTAAAAAATGGCCCTGGAAGCTTCACCCACCAGATAACAAGATCTGCATTTTTTGCATGTCTTCAAATTGTAAAATCACACTTTTCTTGGTCGTGCTTTCAAGTCTTGAGACCTTTAAATCTGTTGCATAAACTCAGATTTAATGCCAGTTCAGTAGGTCACAAAATCTGCAATGGTTTGGAAAGATGTTTTTAAAGGGCAAGATATAGCTGGTACAATTCTAGGGAATGGTGAGTATTTGCTGCTTCTACACACCAGTCACATGAGACGCTAAAAGGCTGCAACAGTGAATGAGATGCTCGCTGATCTCATGAGGCTTTGCAGTTTACTCGGAGGAAATGTCAATCAACAGAGAAAAGTACTTCCAAGAAAACCAACTACTCTGATGTTGGGGAGGAGGCAATTTTATTTGATAAGATGGATGCCTGAAACTTGAGAAGGTAATACTTCAGAGTCAGGAAGCCTGGAGGTTACAGAATGAATTCAAGACCAGTTTAGACAACTTAGCAAGACCCTGTCTCAAGATAAAAGAAAAATTAAAAAGGGCTGAGTTTGAGTTCACGCCTAGTATGCATAAGAGCTTAGGCTTAATCCTCAGCACAGAAAAAAACAAAACAAAACAAAACAAAAAAAACCAAATGAACAGGATGGTATTAATTAAACAGTAAAACAGTACTAAACTTCTCCCAGGGCAGGAACTATGGCAGGTCATAAGGGAGGTGATTGTGTGAGCAGAATTAAGAGTGCCCTCAGGAACAGAAGTTCATGGACAGATCCTGGGGCAGAGAAGAGGAAGTTGATATAGATGCAAATCATGGAAAGGCTTAAAGTTGAGGGACATCTGATCAGTGCTTTGAAGGGTCACCAGTTTCTCTGTGGGAAGTGGAGGGCAGCAAGAAGCCGACAGGCCATTGGGATAGCTGCTGCAGCCATCCAGGTTTGAGGCGAGGAGCTTGGGCAGGAGGAACCACCACAGAAACATCCGGAGATGAACTAATTTGAGACATCTTTTGGAGGCAGGTGTTTAGACTTAACGACCAACTGGATGAGAGGCAGCAAGAGATCGCCATTTATCAGCTAAGAGGCTGTGTGTGTGTGTGGTGTCCTCACACAGATGAGGGCCAGGCCCTCCAGGCGGAGTTGGAGACATACAGGAGCTATAAAAGTGTGTCTAACAGCCTTCCTAGTTACTCACTGACTGCCAGTAAGAATACAGGAATGGCTGCACAAGCGTGTCTGTGCAGGAGACTAGGTGGGGACCCACAGGGCTGTCTCCTCATTTGTGGAGAACCTAAATGACTGAGGAGCGAGCCCAGAGTCACATGTAGGAAACAGGCACGGAAACATTGGGAAACCCCCTATGCATGCTGCAGACTTTAGGGCATGGTGGAGGAATATGATAACAATTCACTTCTGAGAAGAGATGTTTTAACTTTTGTACAATTTTATCAGAACTCGGATAATTATCTTGAAATTGTTATGCAGGGAGAGTGATACACTGTTAACTTCCTTAATGGATTTTTACCTGTTTGTAGGGACTGCAAAGTGTGATAGCATTTTCTACAGTACTGACTCAAAACCAAGCAATCAAGGGGATAAACCTGAACCGACCTATACTGTATGGAGAACAGGTCAGTATTCAAGTGATGACAGTGTCCACAGGACTAAGACTAGGGTCCAACTGGGGTTTATGGTACATGAATACACTGCATTCTTCAACAGTCCTATTATATATAACTGCAGCTTGTAAACCTATTAAAGGAGAATTATGTCACTTTTTGGTGACTCACATGCATTTAGCTGCTGTTACTTAAGCAGCAAGCTTATAAAACTCAGGTTCTAAGCCGGGCGGTGGTGGCGCACGCCTTTAATCCCAGCACTCGGGAGGCAGAGCCAGGTGGATCTCTGTGAGTTCGAGGCCAGCCTGGGACCAAGTGAGTCCCAGGAAAGGCGCAAAGCTACACAGAGAAACCCTGTCTCGAAAAGCCAAAAAAAAAAAAAAAAAAAAAAAAAAAAAAAAAAACTCAGGTTCTGTGTAAGACAGAAAGAATATGTATGCTTAAAGTTTCATAAGCCATGTTCTACACCCAATGTCGGCTGTTTTATCATTTGTTATATTGGTATGGCTGGACCATATCTTGGAACATAACACAAATGCATGCATAAAGTCTGGCGAGTCTGAACTTGATCCCTTCTATAGATTAAGGTTCTTGTTGGAGGGAGATGACACTGTGGCTTCTTTTTTCCACAGCCTTTTGGGTGGGATTCTTCTTCTTCTTTTTTTTTTTTTTAAAAAAGATTTATTTATTTATTATGTATACAGTGTTCTGCCTACATATATGCTTGCAGGTCAGAAGAGGGCACCAGATCTCATTACGGATGGTTGTGAGCCACCATGTGGTTTGCTGGGAATTGAACTCAGGACCTCTGGGAGAGCAGCCTCTGAGCGATCTCGCCAGCCCGGGTGGGAGTCTTCTTAAAGAAATAAAAAACTTGGACGGGCAAGATGGCTCAGGGGTTAAAAAGCTTCTGCTGCCAAACCTGATGAGCTGAGTTCAATTTCAAGGACTACATGGTGGAGGAACAGAACTGATTTCTGTCGCTGACCTCTGACCTCCACATGTGCACTGTGACATGTGCATGCACACTCACCCCCTCTGGGGAAATGTAAAAACAAAAACAAACTCATAAATAAGAACTCATTCTGTGACAGGTCTCAGTGAGAGGAGAAAAGAAGGCCCAGCACATTTTATCTAGTTCAAATAATGAACTCAGAGGTTCACTGTTCACATAAACCTCAAACTTTCAGATATTGTCCATAATTTAAAATTATCTGGCTCACTGTTCCTCCTTCCTGTCACTGAGAAGTAAGCATATTTTTTTTTTTTTTTTTTTTTTTTTTTGTTTTTCGAGACAGGGTTTCTCTGTGTAGCTTTGCGCCTTTCCTGGGACTCACTTGGTAGTCCAGGCTGGCCTCGAACTCACAGAGATCCGCCTGGCTCTGCCTCCCGAGTGCTGGGATTAAAGGCGTGCGCCACCACCGCCCGGCGAAGTAAGCATATTTTAAAGTGCTACTTTTCATAGTCGGCTTCTGCAAGCACCAGACACACTCATGGTGCACAGACATGCAGCAAAACACATATAAAATAAGTCTAAACACTTTTTTAAGATGAGTAAAATACTATGATTTGTTCACAAAGCATATTACAGGGACTTCCTAACAAAACTGCTTTGGCCCACTTACGCTTCATTGTGGATAAAAACTCAAGACTACCTTTGAGGAAGGAAATGTACGTGCACACACATATCTTTCACCTAGGAACAGCTAGACCGTAAACTTTAAAAATGAACAAACATATTCCAGAACTTGAAATCACTACAAAAGGCAGGCAGGCAGACAAAACAGAGCTGAGGGTCTCAAAACACTGAGAACTGTCTTTGTATCTTAAGCCATCAAGATGACCGGTGACACACCGAGGGAATGGCGAAGTCTACGCACTAAGATATAAAAAACTGCTTTGCTAGTTTTCCTCTTAAAATAACTATGACTGTTACTGTAAACCCATTATCCATCCTCTTTGTAAGTCACTTAGTTACTGCTTTTTTTTTTTTAAATACAAGTTCCTGCTACCTATTTCTAAGAAGGTACACATTTCTTTTGGAACTACACATAGTGGTACACATCACAACCCCAGTGCTCTTGGGAGGCTGAGGTAGGATATTGAATTCCCAGGCCAGCCCAGGCTATGTGGTGAGACCTGGTCCACTCCCTTGTGCTCCCCTTACACACACACACACACACACACACACACACACACACACACACACACACACACACACACACGAGATATAATTTGAGGCAGTAATGATAGTTTTATTTAAAAAAAAAAGATATGCCAAGTGCAAATATGACTCTTTTTTGTTGTATATGTGTATATGCATATATATGTGACTGTGTATGCCTGTAAAGGTGCATGCAGGGTTCAGAGGAGGAAGCCAAAGGTCATCTCAATTGCTCTCCGAATTATTGCCTTCAGCCAGAGCCTCTCAATGAACATAAAGTTCACTGAGATTAACTGGACATAAGAGTCCATGATCCGCCTGTCTTTACCAGCCAGCAATGAGGTTCCAAGAATATGCAGCCATGCCTGGCTTCTGTGAATAGTGGGAATAGAACTCAGGTCCTCATTACCCAGGGAGTTGTAGCTTTAACCCTAAACTAAGAGTCTTAATAAAATTGTTTTGTTTTTTTGAGACAGGGTTTCTCCATATAGCCCTGGCTATCCTAGAACTCACTCTGAGACCAGGCTGGCCTTGAACTCACAGAGATCCACCTGCTTTTGCTTCCCACGTACTGGAACTAAAGGTGTGTACCACCACCACCCAGACTTGTTGTTTTTTGTTTGTGTTTTGTTGTTGGTTTTGTTTTGGTGTTTGGTTTTTGGAGACAGGGTTTCTCTGTGTAGCCATGGCTGTCCTAGAACTCACTTTGTAGACCAGTCTAGCCTCAAACTCACAGATATCTGCTTACCTCTGCCTCCTGAATGCTGGGATTAAAGGTGTGTGGCACCACCGCCCGGCCTTGTTTTGTTTTTAATGCAGTATTTTTAACAAGCTAATTTAAGGCCAGATGTAGTGGCACACACCTGTAACACCAGTCCTCAGGAGGTTGGGCAACAGAGACAAGGTTGAGATCAGCCCGAGCTACATAACGAGACCCTGTACCAAGAAACAAAACAAAAATCCACCAAACTTTAAGAAAATATATGCTCTTGAAATGGACAAGTAATACTTCAAACTCAGAAAAGACCTTACCTATTTTTAGGAAGAGTCTACAGTTCACATGGGCCACATGTTGAAAGAAAATCACTCCCTTGTTGAACTGCATATGTGTAAACATGGCATAAAAAATTTTGGTATGCAACAGCTGTGCAACGCGCTGTTTCTGAACAGCAGCCTACGCTACCTTGATGTCAGCTGGTAAGTGGTAATTTACATGATAATGCAAAGATTAAGTCTTGAGGATAGTCTACACAAATGTTCAGAGTATGTGAGATATGTGTTAGACATTATTTTCAGTGACTAGAAATTCTAACTGTTGTTGAACTTTTATCAAGCTGTAGGCTTTATTAGGCTAGCTTATATAGTAATATATCCGTAATAACTTGATTGCTAGACATATGGAAGCATTATTTCATGCAGTTTTTTTAAATGTTGTGATGGTTATTTTAAGATTTATTTATCATATATACAGCGTTCTGTCTGTATGCATGTCTGCCTGCCAGAAGAGGGCACCAGATCTCATTACAGATGGTTGTGAGCCACCATGTGGTTGCTGGGAATTGAACTCAGGACCTCTGGAAGAGCAGCCAGCGTTCTTAACATCTTAGCCATCTCTCCAGCCCCTCATGGAGAATTTTTATTCTTGGAAGTTGAGCAAACTAACTGGAAATAGAAAGTTTACTATATGGTTTCAAGTAGCTTATGACTATAAGAACAATACTTTGTGTTTTTAAATGTTGCTCAATATGCTTCCTTCCACAGCAATAAAATAACTCGTGATGGAATGGTGTATTTGGCTGATGTACTGAAAAGCAATACTACCCTGGAAGTAATAGATCTTTCTTTTAACAGAATAGAAAACGCAGGCGCAAAGTACCTCAGTGAAACTCTAACTTCCCACAACAGGAGTCTTAAAGCGTTAGTATGGTTTTATATTTAATCAAAATAAGTAAAGAAAATTCTAAGGAGTATCTTTTTTAAAAATGGGTGACTCTAATAAGATAATTGTGTATTCAAATTCATGAGAAAAAATCTTTATTTCTCTTTTTATTTATATATATATGTGTGTGTGTGTGTGTGTGTGTGTGTGTGTGTGTGTGTGTGTGTGTGTGTATCCACTTGCTTGTTTATACATGTACCAAATGCATACATAGAGGCCAGAAGAGGGAATCAGATCCCTTGGAACTGGAGTTAAGACATGGTTGTGAGCTGCCTGTGCTGAGAACAGAACCTGGGTCCTCTGCAAGAACTGCAATTGCTCTTAGCTGTTAAGCCATCTTTCCAGCCCCCCAAACTCTCATTTATCCTGAATGCTAACAGAAAATTCATAAGCATTTAACACAATACTTACGTTTGTAATCTACTCAAAACATTTACCAAATAGGGGTTGGAGAGAAGGCTCTGTGGTTAAGAGCACTGGCTGCTCTTGCAGAGGTCCTGAGTTTAGTTCCCAGCACCCACATGATGGCTCACAACCATCTACAATGGGATCAGATACCCTCTTCTGGTGTGCAGCCGTACAAGCAGGCAAAGCACCCAAATACATAAATAAATCTTAGGAAAGGAAAGGAAAGAAAAAAGGAAAGGAAAGAGAAAGGAAAGGAAAGGAAAGGAAAGGAAAGGAAAGGAAAGGAAAGGAAAGGAAAGGAAAGGAAAGGAAAGGAAAGAAAAAAGGAAAGGAAAGAAAAGGGAAAGGAAAAAAAGGGAAAGGAAAGGAAAAAAGCAAAGGAAAAAAAGGGGAAAGGAAAGAAAGGAAAAAAGGAAAGGAAGGGAAAGGAAGGGAAGCAAGCAGGCTATTTTTAAAACATTGGGAACTTTCCTGGGTATATGACACATTCAATTAAAAAAAAAATAGGTTCCTTGGATTAAAGGACCTCTTCAGGCAATATTTAGACCACCACATTAAAACATGTTGATAAAATGGATTTAGTAAGTGTTGATGCTGACTTAAGATTCTGGACTTCAGAATTCCACGATGTTTCTCTTCTACAGATTGTCTGTAGTCAGCAACAAGATAGAGGGAGAAGGGCTGGTTGCCCTTTCACAGTCAATGAAAACAAACCTCATATTATCTCATATCTACATTTGGGGGAACAAATTTGATGATGCTACGTGTGTGGTAAGTGTTTTGTAAGTAAGAGTTCTGTTGGACTCTGCAATACCTGTAAGTTCCTTTCATAAATGGTTTCAAAAAACGGTGTCACACTATACTTTGGGTAATTTTTAACTTAAACCCTAAAAAGTAGCTGCTAGGAAAGATATCTGATGCTATATACAAGTATTAAGGATCACTAAGCTGCACAATTTTCCAATTCCTCCAAATGAAAACAAAAATTACAATTGATTTGATGTAGCAAAGTTCCTCGTGTGTCAAGAAGAGGAATCAGAGACACCTGTAGAAGCTCTGTAGCACTTAGTGTTCATGTGTGTGAACCCGAGTCCTTCACACTACATACCTATGCTGAAGCATCCCTGTACCTCTGGGATGTAGCCTACTTGATCACAGTGGGTGAGCTTTGTGAAGTGTTCTTGAATTTGGTTTTCAAGTATTTCATTGAGAATTTTTGCATCTGTGTTCATAAGGGAAACTGGTCTGTAATTCTCTTTGTTTGGTCTTTGTGTGGTTTAGGTATCAGGGTAAAAAGAAATAGGCAATGGTCCTTCTGTTTAGTGGGATAGAATATTGAATTAATTTTTCTTTGAAAGTCTGGTAGAGCCGGGTGGTGGTGGCACACGCCTTTAATTCCAGCACTCGGGAGACAGAGGTAGGCGGATCTTTGTGAGTTCGAGGCCAGCCTGGTCTACAGAGCGAGATCCAGGAAAGGCTCCAAAGCTACACAGAGAAACCCTGTCTCGAAAAGCCAATATATATATATATATATCTCCATCTGGCCCTGGGCTTTCTTTGTTGTTGTTGGAAGACTGAACTCAGGACTTCTAGAAGAGCAGCCAGTACTCTTAACTGCTGAGCCATCTCTCTAGGTCCTACTTAGGAAATTTTTAATTACTGCTTCTATTTTACTAGGGGTCATAGCCCTGTTTAAATTGCTTATCTGATCTTGATTTAACTTTGGTAGATGGTATATATGAAGAAATTTATCCACTTCTTTTAAATTTTCCCATTTAGTGGAGTACAGACATTTAAAGTGTATCCTTATGAGTCTCTGGATTTCCTTGGTATCTGTTATTTCCCTCCTTTTATCTCTAATTTTATTAATTTGGATCTTCTCTCTCTAACTTTTAGTTAATTTGGATAAGGGTTTGTCAATCTTACTGATTTTCTTAAAAAACCAACTCTGTGTCTCATTGACTCTTTGTGGTGGTTTTTGTTTGTTTGTTTCTATTTTATTGATTTCAATCACGAGTTTATTTCCTGCCACCTAGTCCTTTTGAATACTATTTTTTTCCTTTTGTTCTAGAGCTTTCATGTGTGCTGTTAAGTTACTAATGAGATCTCTCCAATTTTTTGATGTAGGCATTTAGTGCTATGAGCTTGCCTCTTATAACCACCATCATTGTGTTCCATAGGTTTAGGTATGCTGTGTTTTCATTTTCATTCAATTCTAAAAAGTTTTTAATTTCCTTCTTGATTTCTGTCTTGGCCTATTTTTCCACTCAGGAGCAAGCTGTTCAGTTTCCATGAACCTAGAAACTTTGTTGTTAATACAGCTTCTGTTGTGGTTAGATACAATACAGGATGTTATTTCAGATTGTCTTGTGTCTGTTGAGACTTGTGTTGTGCTTGAGTATGTGGTCAGTTTTGGAAAAAGTTCCATGAGCTACTGAGAATCATACTACTTTAGAGACAGAAAGCATAGTGACAAAAAGCTTTCATTTGAAAAGGGAGGAGAAAAAAGCGTAAGATTTGTAAAAGGATGGGCTAAAAATAACGGGCCTAAAAAACTACCCATAGTTTTCAGAGAAACACTCATGTTCTTTAGGTTTCCACACAGCACAAGCTGAATACAGACTATGGAACCAAAAATAATGAAAAGCTACAACAGAAAGCAAAACCAAAGTTGGAAATCTTTTTCCTGTCAAAAGTTCTCCCCTGTTGTTTTACAATATCAACTTTATTGACAAAACAGCTCACAAGTGTGTATGACACTCTCAACATATACACCAAGAAGCCACAGGGACACACAAAGAAAATTCTAGAGTAAAAAAACAATTGATAGGCGATTAAATGGTGACTTAACACTATGGAATTGTCTTTTTTTTTTTAAAACTAAACTTCCGTACTGACTTGAGGGGACTTATCAACTGAACTCCATGTGGAGCTGTTTATTTATTTGTTTATTCTGAGGTGTGAGGCCCTACTGATCATCAGATTTATTTGAGGGAGGCAGGATTTTGCTATGCAGGTCAGCTGATCTTGAACTCAACCATCCTCCTGCCTCAGCTTCTGCAGTGCTGAGAATAAAAGCATGTGCCAGTACATGGGACTCCTCACTCTGCCAACTACCACCTCTTAAGAGTACATGAAAACCTCTGGCCATGGGTCACAAAATTGGTATTATAGAGAATTAACTCAGAGATTCACAAAAGGACTTACATATGAAAACATGCTTCACATGTTAAAACTTAGAAATCAATTTTATAAGTTACATTTCCATTATGTATAACTAAATAATAAAATTTACCTATACTATCTGGAATAATACTAAAGTTAAGCAATGTTAATAAGAATATTTTATTTCAATCTACAAAATAACACAGCTAAGTTGATTATTTGTTTGCCCAACAACTGTGAATTAAATAAATTATATTCCTAATGAAAGTTTTCTAAAAATCCTAGGCATATTCAGATTTGATGAAGAGTGGCCGGCTAAAGCCAGATAACACAGATGTGGAACCATATGTGGTGGATGGACATGTCTACCTTGCAGAAGTCTCCAATGGTCTTAAAAGGCATTATTACTGGACGCCAACTTATGGAGAGGCTTATGACCATGCATCTACTGCAGGCTTTGCTCTTGTTCCAGTCGGCCAACATCTATAAGAAACAAGCTTGAATAGTTTTCACACATTTGTCTCATCATTTTTAGAGACTAATATTTTATAGTCTATTTTTCCTTTATAAATTAGAACAAGTTTTTTTTTAATCAAATTTGTTAAAACTTTGTGTACTTGCCCCTTGTTGAGAAAAAACTGATTCTTAATATAGACTACACTGTCAACCCTGAAGAAACCATGGGACCACTCTAATTCTTTTTATAATGAAAAACAAGTAACAAACACAAAAAACACAGACAGTGGAGTAACAAGCAAAGGTCACAACAGACATCTTAACCAAATGGTATAGTAGAAAGGATGCAGCTGGGAAATTTCCCGAGGATTTCAGATTTCCAAGTTTAAAGTTCCAAAGTATTCCACATAGACTTTTAGGCATTGCAGACAGGTGTTAGTACCAATAACACAAGAAAATAAAAAGTTTTCTTGCATAGACAGTGACTATCCTGAGTTTATACACCCTTTCTGTGTCTGGCTCTTGTTCACTCAATATTAGTGCAATTCACTCATGTTATTCATTGCAGCTGCAGTCCATTTCTTATTGCCTTGAAGTAGTAGTCCATCCTACGCTGAGGAAGAACCCACAGGAGTCTGTAGAGATGGTCTTTCAGGATTAGATATTCAAGCATCCCTTAGCAATGCAGTTGGCTTTCGTGGGTCTCAGTCTACTCCTGTGTGCTACAGTAGGGCCAAATGTTTACATATTCTTACAAGGGGGGGTGTAGCAGGTAAGATAGAAAGGGACAGCAAATAAGTCTGCCTGAGCTTGCAGTGGGAGGTATATGATCAACCTGTATTTGGAACTATTCTGGGCTACTAAAGATGGAGCCTTAATGAGCTGTCCACACATAACTGCGGTCAGGCCAGTTCAGTGGACAAGTACTGGTTCTAACAAGGAAGCAGTTATTTTTTAGGGAAGGTTTGATAATGCAGTTTTACAGGTCCTTGTTTACTGCCTCAGAGGCCAGCAGAATGCTCAGACACATTTATTCTGATGCTTTTATGTCATTTAGTTCCCTCTATACATCTGGATACCATCTGAGAGATAAGGTAGAAAGCATTCTTCCAAAAGATGAGCAGGCTAAGAAGCTGTTTTCCACTAGACTTATCCTTACTCAGGCAAGGACTCGAGGAGACATATAAGTTCTGTGGGAGAACTCCACTTCCTCTGTACATCTTACACTGAATAAAATTACAACATTTTATATGGCTTCTACTTCCCTTTTAGCAATTGTCTTTTAAGATCCTGCTTTAAAAAAGCTGATTATAGTCATGGATCATATTATACTAATAATGCTCTAACTCTGAAGGCAAAAAATTAAGTGGCACACTTTAAAAATAATCTGAAATTAAAGATAAAATAGAAATGACTGAGAAACACTTAATTGTTCAACATCCTTAGTCATCAGAGAGATGCAAATTAAAACTACTTTGAGATTTTATCTTATACCAGTCAGAATAGGCAAGATTAATAAAACAAATGACAGTTCATGCTGCTGAGGATGTGGGAGAGGGGGAGCACTTATTCATTGCTTGTGGGAGTACAAACTTGTACAGCTACTATGGAAATCAGTGTGGTGGTTCCTCAGGAAGCTGGAGATCTACCTCAAGATCTGGTGGCTATACCACACTTGGGCACATACCCAAAGGACTCTAATCCTGCTACAGAGACATTTGTTCAATCATGTTTGTTGCTGCTCTATTCATAACAGGCAGAAACTAGAAAAAGCCTAGATGTCCATCAATGGATGAATGGACAATTAAAACATGGTGTATTTATCCAACAGAATATTACTCAGCTGTTAAATAAAATTATAAAATTCTCAGGTAAATAGATGGAGCTAAGAAAAAAAAAATCACCCTGAGTGAAATAACCTAGACTTCTAGAAGACAAATATGCTATGTTTTATCTTAAATGTTATGATGGCTATTCTTGCTTGTCAACTTGACTACATCTGGAATTAACTAAACCTCAAGCAGCTAAGCACACCCATAAGGGATTTTTCTTGATTAGATCATTTGAAGTCAGAAGATCTACCTTAAATCTGGGCCACACCTTCTGGTGGCAGTTTATATTAAGGACATGGAAGAAGGACACTTTTACTTTTTGCCTGCTTGCCCTCACTCTTGCTGGCAAGCTTATTCCTTCACTGGTATTCGAGTCCATGTTTTCAGGATTCTGAGATATGGCCATTATTGAACTAACCAGGTCACAGGCTGTAAGCCACTCAAATAAATCCCACATATATATATATATACATACACACACACATATATATATTGATATGCATATCAAATTTCTCTCTCTCTCTCTCTCTCTCTATATATATATATATATATATGTATATATATTCATTCTATCATGTGTTCTAGAGAACTCTGACACAGAAGTGGATATTAGCTTTAAAGCCTTTGATATGTGTGCTACGATCCATAGAACCAGAAGTTAGGTACAAAGTCAGGGACCAGTGGGGAGGAGGAGATCTCCCAAAGAAAGGAGAAATAGAATATATTGTTATGAAGAGATGGGGGTGGGGAGGACCTAGAGTGGAAGGACTAAACGGGAAGAGGTGAGGAAGAGAGGGCTAAGGAGAGACAACTAACACTAAGAGCCCCACTACTGTAGAAGCTTCCTAAAATATATACAGATATGAGAGAAATCTAAATGTATCCAAATGACAGGAGAATGCCCCAATGAGACATATTCCATCACCAGGTGAAATTTCCAGTGCCAGGAATGGGTTTCAGAGAATTCAGATGTTGACCAAAGGACCCTATGGGAGCCCCCAAACAACTCAAGCTGTTGCCAAGACTACTGGCTGCTCTCTACAGACTGACGGTAAGGCCCTATTGCTGAAGAGACACAAATGTCAGGGAACACAGAGAAGGAAGTCTACTGGAGGCTTTACTCATACTGATCAGCACTCACGGCACCAGAACGTACTACTTCCGGAGAAAGATGGCCACCAATGCAGCTGCCAACGCTTGGATCTCCACTGGCAATTGCAAGGTGCAGTGGTTCAACAGCGGCACAAACATAGTGGGCAGTGCCCAGCCAGCTCCGGACGGATCTAAGGCCCACTTCACGAGATGAAATGCATGTCTGACAACACTCGAGGAGTCAAGAACTTGAGACTGGACAGGCCATGGGCCTCAGGGAAAAACAAATACTACCGTTCTGCTGAAGAGACACAGCAACACAATGACTCCTACTGGCATTCTGTTGTACCCACAGATCAGTGTGTCATTTATCACTCAGCCATCAGAGAAGCTTCTTGCAGTAGCTGGGAGCTGACACAGAGACCCACACCTGGGCAGCATAAACAGAGACTTTGGAGCACGCAGTCCTAAAACAGATGTCTTCATCAACCCTCCCCTCGAGGCTCAGGGAGCTATGCAGAAGAGGAGGTAAAAAGAGCCTAAGACCAGGATGGATGGACGACTCTAAGGGAACAGTATCCTCCAGATATAACAGGACTGGTGCACATAAGAATTCAAAGACTGGGGGCTGGAGAGATGGCTCAGAGGTTAAGAGCACTGGCAGGTCTTCCCAAGGTCCTGAGTTCAATTCCCAGCAACCACATGGTGGCCCACAACCATCTGTAATGAACTCTGGTGACCTCTTCTGGTATGCAGGCACACATGCAGGCAGAACACTGTATACACAATAAATAAATCTTCAGAGAATGGTTAAAAAAAAAAAGGCTTCAAAGACTGTGGCAGCACACGCAGGGCCTGCACAAGTTCAAGTCGAACAGGTCCCAGGGCCCAGAGAGGGAGTAGACCTGGGCTCACAGCGCTAACTGAGAGGCTCTCTGCTACCACCATCTACTTGCAAAAGAAATATTCATTTCTCCCACGGAGTCCCACTGGGTAGATTACGCACACTTCAGGATAGGCCCCATGCCCAGTACTAGACGGCCAGTACAAAAAGAACTCAATGGGCTTGGCAGTGGGCGCACGCCTGTAAGCCCAGCACTCGAGAGGCAAAGGCAGGTGGATCTCTGTGAGTTTGAGGCCAGCCTGGGCTACAGAGTGAGTTCCAGGGCTGTTATACAGAGAAACCCTGTCCCGAAAAAAAAGAACTCAAGTATTTTTTTATAGACAATTTGTCTCAAATTGCTTTGGGTATTTTCTGTACATTTTGGTTTCCATTTGTGTATGTGGTTTTTCTTTTCGTTTGTTTGGTTTTTAAAGAGAGAGAGAGAGAAAGGGCCTGGAGTTAGGTACAGGTAGGGAGGTGTGGAGGATCTTGGAGGAGTGAGGGAGGAGAAAACCATGACCAGAATACACAGTATGAAAAAAGAAAAAACCAAACCAAACCTGGTAACACTGACCGTTTTTACCCCCCACTCTCATTTTTACACTGTTCTGTGAAACCATTTCACTGTGGCCTTTGTCATTTGTCTGAGACGTGATCTCTTTAAAACACCAGGTTCTCTGGCACACTTCACTTCCTTCAGACTTGGACTTTTCTGAAGGACCTTTTCATTTGCACATCTTACTTAACATTGCTGTGTTTCACGGCCCCAGTTCTGAAGAATGTGACCAGCTGCCAGCCTAAGGACTGATGCTCCTTGGTAAGGCACTCGGTCACCTGAAGTCACTAGTATGGAATCATGTTGCAAACCTAATCTCGATCTCCAGCAGTCAACTACCATAGGAAGTGACATCATGGGTTATAAATGTGGCTAGCTAGGTCACCCTGTCCAAGAACTATTTCAGGTAAGTCAGTATGGATGCTGGGCTGGACATAGCTGACAGTTAGCTCCTTCTCATTTGATACTTTCTGCATTCTGTCCAGCTCCTCTTCCATCGGCCACATGTAACCATCAGTCACTTCACTTGTCTGTCTAGGTGAAAATGGCCCTTTCTCTCTCTATCCCACTACACTCTTGACTGCCCAAACCTCCTTCCTTAACTTCCTGTGCTACACCACTCACAGCATTATGGCTTATTTTTCTGTTACTGATCTTTCTCGCTCAACTGTAAGGTGGGTAGAGTTACTTGTCTTTCTGCATTTTCTGGAAGGTTACTGCTTACATGATAAATCCTTAAATGCAGCAAGTCTTCCATCAATAAACAGGGCAGGGGTTGAAGAGGGCAAGAGAACAGACCACACCATTGTCTCGAGATTAGTGCAAAGTGTGGTGATGCAGAGCTACAATCCCAGGACAGAGGAGTCTCAAGCAGGAAGATTACTGTGGATTCCAGCCTAATCTGGGCTATTTAATACATTCAAGATCAACACAGTGACACATAGTAAAACCTTGTCTTAAAACAAAAAGTAACAAATCAACGTTACAATAACTCAATTTCATTGATATCAAAATAGTGAGTGAAAAATGCAGACTTTAAACTTTTTATTTGGTGGTATTTCTAGCCAAATAATAGACTAAAATCTCCAGGTAAAAAGATAGATTATATTCAAGAATTCCATCTTAAGTGCTTCTCAAAGAGAGGGCACCTAGGTGCTTAGGATGATAGTTCTCAGTGTTTGGTACATGTTGAGATCAACTGTAGGGCTTTCCTAGGATCCATCTGCCCCAGCACAGTCTGACTCAGTAGATTAAGTTGAAGTGGGTACAAATGCCATTATTCTTAAACTCCATTCTGACAGGAGTAAAGGCATTACAACTATTGGCCTAGGATTTTTTTTTTTTTTTCGAGACAGGGTTTCTCTGTGTAGCTTTGCGCCTTTCCTGGGACTCACTTGGTAGCCCAGGCTGGCCTTGAACTCACAGAGATCCACCTGGCTCTGCCTCCCGAGTGCTGGAATTAAAGGCGTGCACCACCACTGCCCTCTATGGCCTAGGATATTTTAAAAATTAGTGTATATAATTAACTACTTGCTTTAACTACTCTGGTAGTGCCATTTCTGTAGGATTAAAATGTACAGAAATGCTAAACTATTTTTGCAATAAACTGAAAGAACTTTCAATCTTGAAAAAGGCTTCTAAAATTGTCTATTGAAATGATCCCATGGAATTAAACATGAATACTATTCAACAGCAAAATTCATTTAATATATAATCTACAATTTCTTTTTTAAAAAGTCTAAAAGCTAACACTAGAGTAAAATAATACAATTATAAAACAAAATTATAAAATAGTTTCTAAGATATTCAGCATTTTAAAGACTTTCAAAACCTTCTGTAATACTTAGGAATCTTTCCCAAAACACAGCATCATAACAAAATAAACAACTGACCCCAGTGGTTCTTTGTGTTAGAATGGTTACCAGACACATCTAAAATACACACAGGTTCAAATAAGTAACACTGTAGTATTAAAAAATGATAAGAGAGAACATTCAGTCTTTAAACTTTCTTCACACGTAATTCCGGAAGAGGAAGCGATAACTAAAGCCACATCAACTTAAAATAATTTTAAGTATGCAGGTAATGCAAATAAAAAAAAAAACAACCAACCCTACCTATTCCATATTGCAATTATATGAAATAATACTGAAAATAATAAATTTGGAAGCTTTCAAAATACTAATTACCAAGTTGGCTATTGTATTGCATGTTCTGGAGGGCGAGGGAGGAGAACCTTGAATAGATGAGGTTAGTTAAACAGAAGTCCTAGGACAGGCTGGGCTATGAAGTAAGACTATCTCAAAATTTAAAAAGATAAATCAACAAAAAAGACTATCATTACATTTGAGGAAACTGGGCAATTTTTGCCCTCATATAACTATGACATCATCATAGTGATTTTTGGAATATTTTTTTAATCTTCTTGCCTCAACTTTCCAGAATGCTGTGATTACAGATATGTGCTACCATGCCCAGCTAACTAAAGCACTTAGAAAAAATGTTCATTAGATTGCAGAATATTTGTTTAACTATGCAAAGATGTGCTGCATTTGTTTATGATGCAGAATATTTGTTTAACTATGTAAAGATTTGTGGCTGTTTTACCTTGCCTAAGGCACCTGACTGGTCTAATAAAAAGCTGAACTGCCAATAGTGAGGGAGGAGGTATAGGATTTCTGGGCAGGAAGAGGAAATAGGAGGAGGAATTTAGGCTCAGGGAGGGGGAGGGAAGAAAGAAAAAGAGATACCAGGGAGATGCCAGGGGCCAGACAGACACAGAGGAAGCAGGAAAGCAGGACGTACAGAATGAAAGGTAAAAAGCCCCAAGGCAAAACAAAAATGAACAGAAACAGGTAAAATTAAGTTAAAAGAGCTAGTGGGACAAGCCTAAGCTAAGGCTGAGCATTCATAATAAGTCTCTATGTCTTTATCTGGGAGCTAGCTGGCTGCCCAAAGAAAATGCCAACTACAGTTAGATGATTGGATTAATGAAGATGTGAATTAAATCTCTCTCCACTTTGGCAAATGTGTTAAAAAGGGTTGGCTCTTAATTTTCTTTAGTTTTGTTATATTCCAGTAAATTTTCACTGATCTTAAACCAGAATAGATTACCTGACCATTTTATAACCTTACAAATTATATTAAACTTAGTATGTTCATTTAATGTACACACAGATTTCTTAGGTAAATAATGAAATAGTAAGTTTATTATACAAAGGAGGCATTTTTTACTCTCTCCAGTTAAGTCAGTCTCACTGGTGGTAATTTACTGTGAAAATGCTATGTGCTCTAAGAAATGGCATCACTACTTCAGTCTGGAAGAATTGGGTGTTTTTATTATGTCTTCTCATTTCCGAGACTTGGACCCAAACAGGGAATTATGACTAAGAATTCAGTATTGGTAAACACATTGAATTTATTTCAGTGTAGTTTAAATCATGAAAACAAATAAGCATAACTAATTCATGGCAGAAATGAGAAATAGTCACCACGACTTTCATCAGTGCTATGGGAACTGACTCTCTGGAACTGAGAATTAAAATGCAGGGGTGAGGCAGTGAAATAAATTAATATGCGGGGATAGAGAGATGGGGAAAGTGGCAGCAGGTATCTGGATGGGTGTCACTCAATTCTCTACATCCATCTGGAGTGGAAAGACCACTAAGAAGCTACAGCCAACAACCCAAAGGTGTAGTGTAATTTATAAAATTGAAAAACCCATACTTATAGAAAACTCAAATATAAACTGGTAAATAAACTGATAACCAAAAAGTGTAGCTTATAATTGAAGTTAGAATAGTAATTCTATTTGTGTGTGTTCGTGTGTTGCTTTAGGCAAGCTACTCACGATTCTTCATTTTTCTATGTAATATATCAAATTTAGAAGCCAAGTGATTTCTAGTATGTATTTTATATCTAGAAAATTCTTTTTAGAACATTTATTTTAAAAAGTGCATAACCGATAAAAGATAGGCTTATCAAAAATTTTCAAACTGTTATATATTCACTTCCAATAATCTACAAATCTAATAAAATATAAAATGAATCAAATTTCAAAACTGTCTTTTGACCACTTAAAAACACCAAATATCTATTTAAAAAAATATAGTCTCAACTCAAAACAAAAACTGATTGGACTATTGGTTTTTTCCAGAATACTGAGTTCATTCTAAATGAACAAAAATTTACATACATTTTTCTGGGTTTTAAGAGAAATACTTCTTTTGGCTTCATTAAAAAAGTTACCTCTAAAGGAATATATTAATAAATAGCACAATTCTTCCTTAGTATCTAAATTTTCATAGGTATAAATATGAAATTTAACCCCAACAGTTTACCTACTGCTCCATAGGGTTTATAAACAGAAACGCTTTGAAGTTGATATTACTGTAGATTTTGCTTAAACAGTTAGAAGAGAACAACAATGAAAAACCCACAGGTCAGATTTTATCTCAGGAACAAAGAAGTCCAAAATGCAAAATAAAAATGGAATTAAGGCAGCTTGAACAGTATCTACAACTTACCCACCCAAAATAGTGCTGCCACAGTGGACGTCACTCCTGGAAAGGCTGCTTACAGTGAAAGCCAAAAGTCAAAACCATCACTGATGGATGCAAGGTCAGGTGCTTTTACTTCCAGGAGTGAAAAATAATGTTCACACAGCTCAAATGAATGGGGATTAATATGAATATGCACCTTACCAGAGACGTTTATATTTACTACTAGGGATGTCTTAGCAATTCCATGTCCTCAAAGTCAATATAATTGTTGTAAAAAAATCAACTGTGGCTCGGAATATCCATTCACAGTTGACCTCAACAGTGTGTCTGACGTAGGAGACTGACTATCGGTGACAGGAAGTAGCATATGGTCTTCAGTTCCAAGTGGAAGCGCTAAGGGTAGAGTCATATCAGAAGGCTTCACATCTAGAGTTTCTGACAGAGGACTTCTTTGTGTGGGATCTTGTTCACTTAAAGCAGGGTCATCTACACTGCAATCTGGAGTTTGATCTGTACCTGAAATGGAAGTCAGAAAGTACGTTGCCTTTAACAATACAAAACACGATTGTCTGAGGGAGGCTAATCCACATACAGGTCCTAGAAATTATGCTGGGCCTCCACACCCATGTGCAACCTGTTTCTCGCTCACCAATGTGCCTGATTTAAGCTTGCACTGATACTACTAGTGTTGGGCATGTCTGGGCGTCAAGAGCAGGGTCAAGCAAGCACCAATGCCATTACACAAATAGGTTTAACCATTCTAAACCGGGGTGAACCTTTTCTTATCTACCTTATTACATATTTGTCAAATTTCATATTCCGCCCTGTGGCACCCATCCCTCTTATTCTTGTTTAATGCTCTACTCAGTCATGCCTCAAATCCTTAACTAGGCTATGCATTCCTTGAGGGTAAATGCTCAGTTAAGACTTCTCCAATTCCTTCCAAATGTAGAAGGGCAGTAAATAAATCTTTGTACACTGGATATTTTAATAAGCAGCTCATATTATTCTGTGGCTTCAAGTCTATAGTACACCACTTATCATTTATCTCCAGACGTGAGAAACTGTTGACTAGACAAGTTACCACACTGACTAGAGATGCAGTCTGTCTTCACTTTACTACTGCTTTCAGCATCTGCTGCCACCCTAAACTGCGTGTGACTTCAGTAGCAGCATTAGATAGCCAACAGTGCACTATGTGTTTCATTAAGTTGCAATTCTCTGTATTCTTTAGTTGAACCAGTCAAGGAACAACCTGTGCTGTCTTGTCTTAGTGGCTCATCACAATGTCCTCTGCTTGGAATGAACCCATCCTGCCATCTCCATCCTCTGAATTCTTCTCTCTTCAACTTCTATAAAAACAAGTCTTTTCTTTCCTAACAACCCTCCCCTTCTTTAAATACTGTCATTATGTAGCCCAAGATGGCTCTGAACTTGGAGTCAGTCTGCTTTCCCTCAGCATCCTGAGTACTGGGACTACAGATAGGCATGTGCTACCATGTCCAGGTTAAACTTAAGCCCATTCTAATGCTTCAGAAGAACTATCTTCTTTAGCACTTGTATTTACAATGTCTGACAATTTTAATTTAGTTAGATCTCTGATGTTATATCAAGGTTGTAAGCTCTTGTTCAACTCCATATGCCCTGCAGTTATGTGAACCCCGTAGGTATTAAATGGACTGTTGAACAGATCACTGCAGTTTTTAGATGTTTCTACCTCAATCCTTACAATGGTATTAACATGTTTAGTTTTGTGGTGCTGGATGTTGCACCTGGGGCCTCATGCATGCTAGGTGAGCATTCTACCACATCCACTTATTATCATCTACATGCTTGTGAGACTTTTCTTCTTGGTAGAATGCCATGATAAGTATGGTGAGTCTCAGGCCTAAAAGTCTACAGGATGACTTCCTATACTGACAGATCATTTTTGAGCTAGCCACTTCCTCCCACTTTTCTAGGTTGATCTTCATGATGGCTCTTTTCTTCCTAACTACTGTCTGAATCACCCAGATGGCATTATTGAAAATAATGTTACTTAGCTTGTTATATTTACTTTCATTTTTGAAACTACTCACAAGTCATGGTTTGTTCTGAGAAAGGGATGTCCATGTAGCTCACTTTGAACCACACTCTTCCTGCCTCTGTCTCCTAAGTTCTGTGTGTGATATGTGCCACTATGCATTGTGGCAAGTCATATTTTTAAAGGAGGAAATAGCTGAAGTATTTTATTATTACTATTTTATATGTATGGGTGTTTTGCCTGCATGTATACCTGGTGCTTGTGGGGCCAGTAGAGGGAACAGGAGTTACAGACAGTTGTGAGCTGCCATGACAGTGCTGGGACTCTAACCAAGGTCCTCTGGAAGAGCAGCAGTGCTCTTAACTGCTGAGCCACCTCTCCAGCCCCTGAAGGTTTTTGGTTTTGTTGTTATTGCTGTTTATTTTAATGAAGTTCAATATTTCGAAAGAAGTGGAAAGAGGAATTTTCTGTAAATTATAAAGCTACTTTATATGTATATATCTAAGTTTTCGTTGCTGTTTTGTTTTCTAAAATTACTTCACTAGGTGTATGTATGTGTTAGTGTGTATATGTGTCTTCAGAGGACAGCTCTCAGCAAATTGTTCTTTCTTGTTATCTGTGGGATCTGGGAATAGAATTTAGGTTATTAGGCCTGAGCACAGGAGTCTCGAGTCCTGTTTTGTTGGGGATTTTTTTGTTTATTTGTTTGCTTTTGGGGACAGGGTTTCGCTATGTGGCTCTAGCTGGCCAGCAACTAGATTTGTAGCCGAGCTGGCCTTGAATTTGAGATCTTTCTGCTTCAGCCTCCTGAGTACTAAGATTTGAAGTGTGAACCACCACATCTGCCTATACCTGGTTTTAAATATACATCTAATTTACACTCTTGAATGCATATCTCAGCATGCTCAGGACCAGTGCCAACAGGGCAGTAAATGTTCTGCACACGCACTTACCAGAATGGACCTTTGTTTTGTGCTTCTTCAAATTTTTAATGTCTGTGTAAGAATTTCCACACAATTCACAGATAAATGGTCGTTCTCCTGAAAAGCAAGGTAAGAACTTTAAAAACTCAGTATTTTAAAAATTGCTAGCTGACACAAAATTATCAAAATGTTGATGAAAATATAGCAAAAAAATTATTTTAATCACTTGTTATGACAGTGAGATGAGAAATCCTATACACACAGATACACTTTTACTTCATAAAAAGTATAACCCAATTTCAGGAGAAATTAAGCATTCTCATTATCTGAAATTCTCAAAAATAATCTTTTTTATTGCTATCAGATACATATTGGATGCCATTTGTATGCTAAAACCTGGCTATAGAACTAGGGAAAAGTATAATTATGATTTTTGTTCTCATACACCTCACAGATGAGGAAATCCTCTAAGAAAGACTGACAATATTCTACAATATAATTGTTTTCAAATAAGAACTGTCCAGGCTGGGCCGTAGCTCAGAGGCAGACGGCAAGCACAGCACCTGCTAAGCTCTGAGTTTGCTCCCCAGCACTATGGGGCCGGGTGATGACTCAAGAACCATTTAATGCTTTACCCCAAACCCAAGGACTATGAGAATACAGGAGCTGGCGGTGAATGCCCCAAGCCCGCCTATTCACATTACTTTGGATAAGATTTATGAAAACAGGTTTTGAAAAGAAATTGCCAGTATATTCAAAGAGTAGCATTTTCCTTTCTTTTAATTTTTAATTTTCAATATTTTCTTCATACCATTTACATATTACATGTTATAACAAACATGTTGATATTATAATCTATTTTGAAAACTTGCATATAAGAACACCACTTTATAATTCTGATAGTTCCTTGGTATTATCTATTCATTTTTGATATATTTATTCAATTTAATGCAAGTGTTTTTGTTTGATGGATATCTGGCATATTTCTTAGAAAATGTACACAATTCTTAACCAAATTTAAATTATACTCTTAACAACTAAAAAAAGATAAAAGAAAGAAATGAACAAATAAAAACCTGATATGTATACATTAAAAACTTTTATCACGAATGACTAGATACTATATAGCCCACAATGGTTTCAAAGCCAAGGTTTACATACAAAGGAATTAAGAGAGAACAAAAAATAATACGTTCTCCCTAAACACAGACCTGTATGGGATCGAAAGTGTTTGTTGAGCTCTCCTGAGGAAATAAAACTTTTCCCACAAATACCACATATGTATGGTTTTTCACCTAGATGGAAAATAAAAGATAGCGAAGTGGTGTACTATACCAATATAATATTTATCAATCACAAGTGATCTAAAGTAATCTTTTAAAAATATCATCTACAGGAAAGCCTTCTACATTGTATCTTGGAGGCATTTTCAGTAATCCAACATAACAAACTATTATTTTATATTATCTGTCTAGCTTGATACTTTTCACATACACTAAAACATTCCTTCTGCAAATGTCTCTTTTCTCCTAGAAGAGATCACCTGGACAATGTGTTTCTTAAGAGTAAGAGCATGTTAAGCCACATTTCAAATCTCGCTTCTACTTTATTATTCAAGACGAACATGCACATTTAAGAAGACCATGCTTAGCAATCCACCGTACAAGTGAAGGGTCACTGGGTTTCAGAGCTGTGGTTTGCACCTGATGCATGTCTGTGTTGCAAAACTCAGAATGTCTATGCAAAGGAGGTAGCAAGCCACAAAACAAGTTTCCTACCTAACCCAACTCCCACTTAACTCCCTTTTCATACGCCTATTTAAAGGAGATTTAAAAAAAAAAAAGGCTAACAAGGTTTTCTCTAGTCATAAAAACATGTCTCAATTCAATTTATATATCTTCAGAATTATCCTGCTTTAATAAGTATAAGCTACAAGGTAAGTTTTCATCTTCCTTGTATTATTCTAGAAAATGTCAGATTTTTAATCCAAGAGTTATGTGAAATCATGAACATAACTTCAAAAACACCAATGCAGGTATCTAACTAAGAAGTCTAATCTATCTTTTGTAAGGGAACAATTCCCATCTCTTTTATCTACAACCTCACCGCAGCCAGTATCCTCTCTGTATTCCCTCTTACCTGTGTGTTTCCGAGAATGAGTGATCAGAGAACTAGAGACAGCAAACGCCTTCCCGCAGGTGTCACACACGTAAGGCTTCTCTCCAGTATGCCTACGGACATGATAGGTCAGCGTGCTGGCTTGGGCGAATCTCTGCCCACATCTATCACAAACATATGGCTTCTCTCCACTGTGCTTCCTATTAGTAAATACAAAGTAATATAACAGTAAGTAAAGCAATCTGGAGGTCAATGTATATATGAAGGATTTCTTACATAATTTTTCATGCAGCATTTTATTTCATCTTAATAGGCTAAGATTACACATTTAAATTCAATAGTTGTTTCTATGTAAAACCCTATGCCCCCCACCCCCGCTCCAAAAAAATTTTTTTTATGTCTCAAAACAGTAGTAGAGAAAGAAGTTAAAAAAAACTTCTGTTATTATCATTATATAGTTGTCTTGGAGTTTCTGTTGCTGTGATAAAGATCATAACCTAAAGTACATTTCAGCTTATATTTCCACATCATAATCCATCACTAAGGGAAGTCAGGGCAAGAACTGAATTAGAGGCTATGGAGGAGTGCTGCTTACTGGCTTGCTCACCATGGCTTGCTCAGCCTGCTTTCTTATACACCCAGGACCACCTGCCCATGTCTGGCACCAACCACAGTGAGCGGGGGCTTCTCAAATTAATCGTTAATCAAGGAAATGACCTATAGGCTTGCCTACAAGCAACCTGATGGAGAGAATGTTCTCAACCAAGATTCCCACTTCCTACATATGACAAAAACCAACTAATACAACAGTTATCACCAAACCCCAAATACAGCAATTATTTTGCCAGTCCATCTTACTGGTCAAAAGTTCTTCCTTCTCATCTACCTTCACACCCAGCTGACAGCTGCTTCATAGTTTACGGAGAAAAACTTAATCAGAAGAAAATCTGGGGCCAGTGAGTTGGCTCAGTAGGTAAAGGTACCTGCTGCCACCTAAGTTTGATCACTCAGGTTGTCCTCTGGCCTCCACAGGCATGCCATCCATAGTACAGGTATACACAAACACACACAACATAAACAAAAATGTAATTTAAAGAAGAAAAGTTCCATATCATAGCACCCTACCTAGAGCATCTATACATACGTATCTTGTTCTCTTTCTGACTGTCACTTGAAGGTTCAAATGACAGTTCAAATTTGTTTTAGTTCCGCTAAAACAAATCCCCTAACTCCGAGTGTTAATAGTTTGAATCTAGAATGCTCCCTAAAGGCCAAGTGCCAAAGGCGTGGTCCCCTTTAGGTGATGGAAACGAGGAGGTAGGACCTTGTTAGAAGAACTAGGTCACTGAGTTTCCAAGTTTACACCTTGGAGAACTATATCTTGTTCCAAGTCCCCTCGTCAGCCTCTGCTTCTGGACTGCCATAAGATGAGAGGTGGACTCCACTGTGCCCTCTCTGTCATACTGGTTGGCCTTACCTAAGGCCCAGGCGCTATGCGACCAACAGACCTTGGACTGAAACCCGCAACTATCTGCCAACATAGTTCTTTCCATCTTAGGGTAATTGCCTCAGATATTGTCTCAGTAACAGCTGGGTATATAGAAAAAAAGTAGTACCAGTGATGAGTTCACTGTGGTTGTATTTCACAATGTGGTCCAGGAGCTTTTAGAACTGACTTTAGGAGGAACTAGGGAAAGTTTAGAGATGCAGGTTAGAGAAGTTCTAGAAGATGCAAGCAGAGCTTAGTGGGTCATTCTGATGAAAATTTAGAAGACCATAATTCTGATAGAAATGTGGATAGGAGCCAGAAGTAAGAATGATGGACACATGCCGAAAACACTCCTGAGGCTGAGGCGGACAGCTTAAAAAGTTGAGGTCAACTGGAACACAGTTTTTAGAAAGGGGAGAGAGGGAGGAAGAATGAGAGCAAATGAAAAATGACAATAAAGACTGTGCTCATGAGTTACAGAAGGAAATAACGCCACCGGGAACTGAACTTGAGAACAATTTTGCATCTGGCAAATAACTTGTTTACATTTTATCCATGCTCTGAGACTCTGAGCTGGGTTTAAAGACTTAATTATTCCAGTGGAAGACATTTCAAGGCTGCACAGTACACAGATGTTATAAGCATTACTTGCTACTTTTAGCCAGATTTACAGTGAGTAAAAGCAAAGTGGAAACTTTGGAAAAACTTGGAGGTTTGGCTAGAAAAGAATTGTAGGTGAAGTTGGGCCAAGGAGGACACAGCTGAAGAACAGACGAGCACAGTGAAAACAAAGTCAACGACTGGAAACAGCTCAGCTAGAAAGCACGCTGGAAGCCTAAGTTTAATCAGGCAAATGATCATTCCAATCAATGGTATATTTTTGTAATCTCAGCTCTCAGAAGGAGAAGTAGGGGGATTTGGGGCTAGAGACCAGCCTGGGATATACAGCAAGACTCTGTCTCAAAAAAAAAAAAAAAAAAAAAAAAAATGCCGGGCATAATGGTGCACACCTTTAATCTTAGCGGAGGCAGGCGGATCTCTGTGAGTTCAAAGCCAGCCTGGTTTATAGAGCAAGTTCCAGGACAACCAGAGCTACATACAGAAACCCTGTCTCAAAAAATCAAAATAAATAAATAAATAAATAAATAGGAAAAAATTGGCCAAATCTTACCCATCAAAAGCTACGGGTATGAAAATGTCAATTCACTTGCTTGAGAATAAAGTACTAGGCACCCTGCCCACATAGCCCCCTGTAGCCATGCTCCATACTGGCATTTGGAGTCTACTGTAGTCATGGTCCATGGGGCACCGTGGAGCTATCACAGCAATCAGGAAGAAGAGGCAGAGGAGGAGCTTGCAAGGGTGGCCAGGATAAGACACAATCCCTAGAAGCTCCGGACTCAGTTATTTAACCAGGTTTCAACACCTAAAATGTCACCTCCCCTAATTCTCTGATTAGGTCAGAGCCACTTCCTCAAACATCACCTCAACATTGCTGCACTGGGGACTCAGCCTTCCACAAATGAGCATTTGGGAAGTATTTCAGATCCAAACTATAATCTACCTCTAGCCCCAAATGTTCAAGCCCATCTCACATGAAAATGCATCCATCCATCTCTAAGAGTCAAAAGTCCAGGTCTAAAGTTTCCAAGACTTGGGGCAACTCTGAGTTGTGAGCATTTGCAAAAATCAAAACACGGTTTACATCAATTCCACGGTATAATTCCCATTCCAAAGGAGAGGAATGAGGAAATGCAAGGAAGATGAAAGCAAGGTGATAACCTGGCAGGGCAAGCATCAAATGATCAGCATGGGGTAACGTGAGGCTTGCTCTGGGTACTCGTAAAAATGGACTCATTAGGTCACAATAATTAACTCACTTAAAGGTCAAACAACTCGTGTTTTTTGGTTTGTTTGTTTTTTTACCTTGCATGAATCTTGAGATTGCTAGAAGTTGCAAACTGTAAATTGCACACATCACATTTATAGGGTTTTTCCTCACCATGATGCATGCGACTGTGGAAGACCAGCTGGCATTTCTGAGCAAATCCTTTATCACACAGTTCACATTTGTATGGCCTTTCCCCTAAAAGATCAATAACATTTGTATTAGGAAGGAAAAAAAATCCCGTTTAACTTGCTAAGGTCATAAACTTTTCAGGCTTTTAAGAGTGCCAATGGTACTGGTTTTGTTTTCAGAAAATGGTAACTTCTAAGTAGCCAAGGCAAATGGGAAGTCCTTCAGACTACTGAAAACACTAGGAGGAAAGAGATTAATCCTAACAGTGAACAGCAAGAAAAATGATAAAACACAAACCTACGTGTAACAATGGATGTTCACACTTTGCCAGCAGGTCATGCAAAACAGGTAACAGAGAAGCTGAGAGAGAACCATGTTCAAAAAAACCAATGAAGTCTAGAAGCATGTAATAAGAAGTACTGGTAATATGTGAAAATTGGACTGAGTTTTAATAATTGTCTCTGTTAAATACTTTAAAAGCTAGAACCAAGCCAGGCCTAATGGTACAGCTCTATAATCCTAATTACTCTGGAGGCTGAGGCAGGAGGATTACAAATCCAAGACTTACACAGCAAGTTCAAGGCTATCTTAGACAACTTAGCCAGACACAGTCTCAAAACAAAAAAAGTCACATGGGGAAGGGAAAGGGCTATAGCTTAGTGGGGGAGTACTTGCAGAGCATGCTCAAGGCCCTAGGTTCAATACCCAGCTAGGGCCAGGGGTTGGGACCAAGTTTGCGCTTGTTATGAGAGAAAATGACGTAAGGACCCGTTGCACTAGAACTTAAAATGTCAATTATAACAACGAGCTGTTAAATACTTGGTTACAATTACAAATAAGAGTTTAAGAGTCTAATGCTAAAACGTCTTACAAATAAAAGAATATGGCCAATTTTGTGGCAAGGCTGTCAATGCTGTATGTTCATATCATCTCTACTGGCTGGAGATACAACTTAGTACGGTGTGTGCTCAGGTGAGGTCCTGGGTTCAATCCCTAGTACCAAAATAGAACAGAAAACAAAAACAAAAAAAAAAAAACAAATCCATCACACAGCAGTCTTACCTGTATGAGTTCTTACATGTGTTTTCAGCTGGTTACACTGGGTAAAAGCCTTTCCACACAAGTGGCAGACATAGGGTTTGACTCCTTTATGTATTCTCATGTGCCTTCTCAAGCTGCTGGCTTCTGAAAACACCTTCCCGCATGTGTTACACATTGGCTTGGCCTTCGAATACCGCTGATCCAGCTCTTCCCCAGTGTTCTCCAGTTCATACGGATTCTTTACACTGGTTATATTAGACATGGAGTGTTCTTTCAGAGCACAGTGTGACTGTGACTTTCCACGTTTCCGTTTGACTGTAACAGTTTGCACAATATCTTGTGCTGGAAAAGTATTTTCCACAACTGAGGTCAACTCAAGTTCTGAATTATCATTTCCTTGGATGACTTGTTCGACCACAGGGGAGGACAATTTATTTGTATCTAGGAATAATTCAACAGATGCACTCTCTAAAACATCACTGGGATATTGCACTGTTTTATTCTGCCCTGGTTTCTGAGAATTGAAAGCCTTTTTCTTCTTTTTACTTTGAGACGATTTCTTTGCCAATGAACGTTGTTTAGGATTTGCCTGAACTAAGTCTGTAGACACTTCTGATTTCTCCCGATTGTTATAATCTCGCAGAGTAAGAAGACAGGTCTGTTGATTCAATTCGATGTTTCCAGTAATACTAGATATTTCTGTAGAAGAGGGACTAGCAATAAAAGCAAAATCTTCCATCTTTATTTTACATTTAGTTACTACCTCTTCTACTTTGAGATAGTCAGCAGCCTGATGAATTTCTTTAACATTCCAACTGTAAGGAAACAAGGCTAGATGACAATATTCCAACCAAAAGGAAAAGTTGAAGCAATTGCACATATACTTGAATGTCTTTTAAAGAAATAATGAAGCAGAATTATGGAAAAACTTAAACTAAGTAACAAATTTATAAAATGTAATTTTACAGATTGTTTGAGCAGGTATCTCCAATTTTATAGATACTAAAAAGATGAAAAGAATGCCTACTTATAGATGTTGATGAACCATTATGGAATAGCAAAATGTTATATTTTCTGGCTGCTTAAAAAACAGGCAAAAAAAGACTTGCATTGAAAACTGGTTGTTGGGTGGTCAGCAAGCTGGCTCCACAGGTAGAAGCGTTAGCTGAGCAAGCCTAAAGAGCCAAGGAACCCACATAATAGTCGACATACCTAGGATCTCAGTGTTCCTACACCAAGGTGTGAGACAGAGACAGAAACAAGACCCTGCCTCAACAAGAAAGAGAAACTAGTCCCCAGAACTGTCCTCTGATGTCCACATGCACACTGTGGCACACACATGTGCATGTGCACACACACACACACACACACACACACACACACACACACAAATCTGTTTAATTTCTTTTGAGACAGGGTCTCACTATGTAGTTTTGACTAACCTGAAACTCACTCTATAGACCAGGCTGGCCTCAAACTCATAGCATTCACCTGCCTCTGTCTCCTGCGTGCTGGGAATAAAGGCATGTGTACCATGCCCTGCTATTTTTTTTTTTTTAATGTTGTTGACAATACACTGCTTCCTCCCATCTCTTCCAAGGTTTCTTCAGATGCCAATCAAGTTTTCTGGATTGGCAACAGAGCTCAATGAAATATTTCCTACTTTTCTGTTCTGCTCTCTGAGGTACTTTTATCTATGCTTCTCAAACTTTACTGTCAATATGAATCATGGAGGGGTCTTGTTAATGAAGACTGAAAGACTAAATTCCGCCATCAATGATAGTGCCAGACAATCTGCAACTGTAATGCACTCCCTGTTAGGTCAATGTAGCTGGCCCATGGATTACAATTGGGAGGGACAAGAGTTCATAATGTGCTAACCTCTCTCTAGCTCAGCTTACTGTCAGAAAAGCTTATCACGCTAGCTTTGTATGGAAAGACAAGTCACACTGTTCAACATTCCAGTCATATTTACTATCCACCAAGAGTGGTACCAAGAGGAGTATTATTAGACATTTATAGTATAGAAAAGAGGTGGTTGGTTTATTTAGCACTGGATCCAGCATTCTATGAATTAACCAGGGTGAGGCATCACTGGCTTAAAATTCCTAAGTTGTAAAAACAAGAGTTTAGTTGGTATTAATAAACTGCTAATAAGATTGAAGTGTGACATCTTGGGCTAATACAAGCATATAGATACACACCCTCAAGTAAACTTCCTGCTGGCCATTTTGCCAAGTGTTACTTGGTTCACTAACAAAGCTCTCTTCTGTTTTCTTCCCTGTAAGTCAGAAATAGGTTCCAATTATAGTTGATAACATATAATAATGACAATATTGTTACTGCTTTTTTAAGAGGGAATAAACTTTGAAGTAAAATAAAAATAACCAGAACATTGACTGTCTGGGTCTCCGAGACTATCTTGCACGTGCACTGCTCTCTACCAACTTCTCACCACCATCTAGTCCCACCTTTGTCTCCAATGCCACTGAGTTGTACTTTCACCTCATTTACTATTCTCCTGGCTGTCTAAAATGTCTTTTATGACAATCATTTTCTACTCACTGTAGGCTAAAGAGCTGTATGGAATTTGGAAACCTATTCACCAGCCGAAAATATTTTATTCTCTGGGAAAATCCACTCAAATTTTTAAACTTATTACATATCAACTTCTGGTATATAGTGTGTTTGAGTCTCATCCCTAGATAAGAAAATATTATTCAAGATATTTTCTTATAGGCTCATTGTGAATAGATTTAGAATAGATCATGAATCTTTACAATTGAGTTAATTCTCTATATTAGAAAATGTATTCTCTAATACAAACTGTACTTTACAATGTACATTACAGCATCAACACTGACGATAAACATTTCATTATATATATTTTCATAGGATAAAAATAAAATCTGCTCTACCACTTAATACATTTAACTAAAATAAATCTATTGGTCTCAAAGTATATTTGTGCTTTGTGTTCCATTACATGAACCATCAAACAGAAAACAGGGTGAAATAAACTCTAAAAATAACAAAACTAGCATTAAATCACATACTAACTATACAATGCCAAAACAATAATTTCCACAAACTATTCCACAGCCTATAATCTTAATGAAGACACCAGATGAAGAAAAGCAATCATAGTTTTACTTGAAAAACTGATCTTCTTGGGGCTGAGGAGGTTAAGTGCTCTCACTGCTCTTAAAAAGGAGCACAGGTCAGTTCTCAGCACCTCCATCAGGTGGCTCAAGTTCCACGGGACCCAGTGCTCTTTCCTGGCCTCCAAGGGCATCCACACATGTATAAATACATGAAAAAAATTAGTCAAGCGAGTCTTTAAATGTGGTTTTCTTTACACGCATCAAGCTACAGTGCTTCCAAATTCATTTCTACCTTTTAAATAGTAACTGAAGATTATTTAATTAAGTATAATAATTCTCAAGGGCTGTGGCTGGGAAAGTTCAGTGGGAGAATGCTTGTCTAGCATACACGAAGCACTGGGTTCAATTCTAATCAATACAGACACATACACACATATTCTCTCTCACTCTCTCTCCCCCAAAAGAGCCAAAGAATTTAAGTAACTTGTTAGAACCAAGAAATAACCAAAGCAATCTAGCTCTTAAGATCACTTATTTTCTATTATGTTGCTTCTTTCTTCTCTCCCTCCCTCCCTCCCTCCCTCCCTCCCTCCCTCCCTCCCTTTCTTTCTTCCTTCCAGAGAGAAAGAAAGACATTCATTTTGGGGGGCTGGAGAGATGGCTCAGCAATTAAGAGCACTGGATGTTTTCCAGAGGGCCTGGGTTCCATTCCTAGCACCCACATATTGGCTCACTCTAGTTCCAGGGGACCCAACACCCTCTTCTGGCTTCCATGGGCACCAGGCATGCAAATGATACACAGACATACACACAGGCTAAACACCCATACACATGCAATAATAGTTTTTTTTAAATGAGATACATTTTTGTTAATTATGTGCACGTGTATGTGTTGGGAAAAGTGTATATGAGTACAGATGTCCACAGAAACCAGAAGAGGGCATCAGATTCCTCTAGAGCCACCCTGAGTGCTATGAACTTAACTGGAATCCTCTGCAAGAGCAGTTGAATGACAATAAATGAATGAATGAATGAATGAATGAATGAATGAATGAATAGAGGGAGGGAGGATGGATGAATGGACTTGACTGCTCCTAGGTATGGTGGAAGAGAAGGTTTACTGTAGATAAAAGGGAGACATAGTCAGAGGCAGAGACATCTGTAGAGTCCAGAGTGAACATGAACCTGAGTTGGGGGCGGGAGCTGCCAACCAAGAGGAGAAGCCTGGGCAAGATGAGAGGCAGAGGGGAGGGGAAAGGACTAGAAGGAAGGTAGCTGTGATGGGGGAGAGGGTGGAAGCAGGAAGGGTGTTTATCGGTGGGACCAAAGGATTAGTTTGGCTCTTAATAGCTCCCCAAAATGAATGTCTTTCTTTCTCTCTGGAAAGAAGGAAGGAAGGAAGGCAGAGAAGGAGGGAGGGAGGGGGGAAAGAAGCAAAAGAACAGAAAATTAATTTTGATGGCCAACAGGACATGAGATGGGACAGAAAGTGTAGGGAAGAAGGCTTGGAACAAGGGCAGACATACAGAATCCAGTGAGGAAGGCTGGAAGGGAGAAGAAAGGGGTCTCCTTCCATCTTTCCACGGCCATGAGAGTTGTCAAGGTCCTTTCTGTCTGACTGTCTGGGGTATAAGGGCCGTTCTCGAGTACCAAGACGCACCAGTAATGTCGGTTTGAGTTGAGTTGCTGGAGCCATCTCATCACTAATGGTGGCCAGTGAGTGAGGGTTTGATGGCTAATAGGGAGGTCTCTGGGGAGGAGGGATTGTCACCCAAGTTCTGCCACCAAGAGGGAGACACAATGGTCTGAGGAGAAAGCCGGGGACCTGCTGATGGGATTTTTGGACTGTTTGGAACAGACACCAGATTTCGGCAGAAAAGCCTTGATAAGAAAAACGGAAAACCTCCAGCCAAGCTGAACTGAATGGAATGTGCCGGCCAGCCATCTCAGGGAGCATGCCACCCACTAGACAGAGCAGGGACGTAGGACGATCAACAGTCATCACCTGATGTTTTGGGGAGTGTTCAAGATGGCTAGTAAAGGGAAACTCACCAACAGCCACTGTTGTATGAAGGCGGCAGGTGCCAGATAGTAGAAGTCCAGAAAGTGCAAGAACTGAGTGGTGGTGGGTGGTCCTATAAACCAATCCGAGTTATATTATCAATGAAGCGGGGCGGCCTTGGAGGTGGCACAGAACATACCCAGACACCAAATTCTCAGCACAAAGGAGATTTTATTACTCCTGAGATTGGGGCAGGGCAGGGGGGGGGGGCTGCCTTTGGATGGGGTAAAGACATCAGCAGGCGTCTCTGCAAGAGTGAGTTTTTAAGGAATAAAGGGGAAGTCAGTGCCAGGGTGACTTGGTGAGTCCTGATTGGACAGGTCAGCCAGTGTAGACAAATAATGAACTTTGGCTGCTGAACCTTGATGTTTTGATAGCTGGGCCTTGGTGATCAGCCTCAGGAATGAGTTGGGCATAAGGAAGTGACCAAATAAGGGACTGGACCTTGGTGACTAGCTTGAGGAATGTAATCTAATGGTTTAGCAAGAGAGACAGAAGGGGGAAGGGCTTGGACCTGGTAGAGTCCAGGCCTGCTAAGTTAATAGCTAAATACTGTCCTTCCTATTTCAGCATAAATCGTTTAGACTTCAGGCTAGGTTCACACCAGTATAATAACCACTCACCAGGAAAGACACAGGCAGGCACAGGCACGCACGCGCGCGCGCGCGCACACACACACACACACACACACACACACACACACACAGGTGAAGGGCGGGGGTAGGGGTGAGGGTAGGGGGAACTAAACATTTGCTCTTCTTTACACTGGCTCTTTGCATGAAGACACAAAGGAATGTGCTTCCAGGATGTTCAAGTCAATTTAAGATTTTTTTCACAAACAGTGAATTAAGAAAGAGAAACCACTTGGCGGTGGTGGCGCACGCCTTTAATCTCAGCACTCGGGAGGCAGAGGCAGGTGGATCTCTGTGAGTTCGAGGCCAGCCTGGACTACCAAGTGAGTTCCAGGAAAAGGC